AAACTCCATATTGATCAAAGGACTAGCCGTGCTGTTACGACTGAACTGGCCGCGTTTTGCTCACATGGGATAACGAGCGAGACTCAACCAGGTCAAAAACTCGTTTGTAAATAAGGCGCCAGGTCACTCGTGGGTAGTGAGCACTCGTCTTTGCGGTTCATCTTTGGATTTCTGAAATTTTTCCAAAACGCCTGAAGAATCTTGAGCGTTGACGCTTCTTATTCCTGCACTAAGATCCGTGCTGTCACTTCAAAATCATCGCCGTTGTGCTTTTGTGCCCTATGTGTGTCCAGAGGAGTCCATTGATGAGTGTTAACTTTTCCATCCAGATGTTCTTTTATACGGACACAAAATGGTAACGTATGTCTTCCCCGCATGTTTCACTTGAGATCAATGGTATTGTACCTGAACTCATGATATCCCTTAGGACATTATTAGACTACATCAAAACCGAAATGAAAGATTAAATCAGAGCCAGGAAATGACCGATCGGTCAAGAACGATGTGGAACCCGAAGCTGGGTCATTTAAAAAGTATAAAGGGTAAAGCTCTTAGCGTTGATCAATTCCAGAGGAATTCGCCTTGCATTCGACTATACTAAGCATCGTTCGAGGTGATTAATGCACATCTAACCTATATAATAGCTTCCGGTTTCCTGCCGATGTATCGAGCCAGCGCTGCTTTCCTCCCAGACAAGTCTTGTACCTATTTTTCGAACCCAGAGAGATGGAAGGCTTGGTGGGCCTGGCGCGGGGTTCGATACCATGTGTATTGTAAGGCGCCTCTATCCACACGCGCCCCTTGCAAAATACCTTTAGCAAACATATTGACACTTTTAAGTACATTTGGTCCTAATAACCGACATAATTCCCAATTACATTCAAAGGCTACTAATTTGATCAGAATTTGTAGGAAACGGCGTTAAGTAGTATCCCCAGGAACTCTGCAGCGCAGTGAAAGTTATTCCCATCAACATGAGCATGGCGCTGGTTCGACATTACTCCGACCTCACCGGGCCTGTCAACCCTCCGTGATTGAGCAATCGGTACCAGGCTTTTTCAGAAAAAGTTCTTTTTCTGTAATCCAAGTTTGAACACTGTAGCCAGGCGGCTTTTGCTGGGCTCCACTACGGATGGACTCGTGCAGTATTCAATGAAGTTCAAAAAAAACGACAGTGTTTAACGTTTTGTTTTCTGCCTTCTATAATTTTCATGGCAGGTTACTAAACGAAATACAACCACAACGTTGCTGAGATATTTGCAAAACTCTGGACCGCAGGTGGCTATGGTGGGGAACGAAAGCGCTATTGTCCTTTCCGGGGAGTAACTGAGAGACAGGCGAAACGAAGGACCCGCATGGTGTGGTGGAGAAAAAAAGGACAACAGCGCGTTCGTTTCCCACCACAGACACCTGCTGTCCAGAGTTTTGCAAATATCTCAGAAACGTTGCGGTTGTATTTCGCTTAGTAACCTGCCATGAAATTTATAGAAGGCAGAAAACAAAACGTTAAACATTGTGATTTCAACTACAGCCATAGCTTAACTGGGTTCTATGCCGATTTGCGCTCCCCAGATCAACCCCGCTGACGGGTGATTGCTGTGGCAAAAAGATCGATAGAAATATCTGAGAGACAGGCGAAACTAATTACAGTGTGTGGTCTATAGCTGATATGAACTGATTGAGTAAAAGTGAACTTGTGTTAGAATGAAAGGAGTAGTACACTCCATTGAGCCCCAAAGTGTTGGGATAGTTCTTGTCACGGAATGCTTGTCGTTTTCTGCGTTTGTCTTCACTGTCTTTAATGTCTTCAATGACTTTATCGGCTTGTTGTCTGAAAACCGAATCATTAATCAAAGGAGTAGGATGAGCCACTGGAGGTGTTCTAAAAATACAAAAACTTCGTTAGAACGATGCCGCCTTGGAAGAGCGCTGCGTCGACTTTGCTGTTCCTATTCACCTATTCGATTGTGTCACTCATTGGTTGGATGTGATTCTTCGTCTTTACGTATTTCTAAAAGGTTGATTTGATCGTTTGATAGAAGATATTCGTAGGGAAGAAGGACTTGTGCTCACCATCATCGCTTTAAATTCATCGACATTAGGCTTTGCAGATACATTACGCTCCTCTTCAATTTCCTTCTCCATGCTGTTCAGTTTCTTGAGAAAGCCTGTAGCTGCTGACCATACTCTAATGTTTTCGGTAGCCTTACGTACATTTTCAAGCAGTTGATTTTTTTCTTTTAGTTTTCCTGCGAAGCTTTTTCGTCAGTGGATCTTTTAATTATCAACTGTGGTTAGTTGCTTATCGTGGCAGTGGCGAATGTAGTAAAACATACGTGTACTGTAATGTATATCCTGAAATATTGAACAGATTGAGATAACGAAGAGCGCAGCCTTTCTTCACATCTTAGAGAATATTGTACACCCTTTATCTGCGTCCCAAAGAATATTCTCTGTTGCCAGTTTATTCATTTACTGCTTACTCTTTTTTAATGCAAGGGTGCTACGTGCAAAATAAATGACGCTTTTTGATAATACGTCAGTGTCATTATGGTTATTATTCTCTGTCTTTTATTGCCGTCATATGTTTCTTGTGTTCTTTGTATATTAATCCGTGACCACGATTTTCGCCTACTGTATTACGAAATTTAGTTCGGCCATAAGCTCTTCTCGATCGCTCATTCAGCTCTTCTTTTAGTGTCTGCACTTCGTGAACACTCCATGCTTGTCATCGATGCAAAGTCGCAGTTTGGAAATTGCCGCATGATCCACCCAGTAGCAATTCGTATGTATGGTTCGGCATTTATTTGTAGATCCAGACCAACACCCAGTCGGCTTCCACTCCGTCATACTCTGCTTAACAGACGATGTATATTATATAATCACCGATTTTTTACCGTATCACTTAAGCAGGACTCCGATAGCACAGTGGTAGTGATTCTGGTCATCACGATCAGATGATGGTTCGATCCCGCCCTAGGCCCAACAAATCCCCTATCTCTCCGGGTCGGGAAATTGGTGTCGGACTTGTTTGGGAAAAAAAGACACCTTCATCGGCCCAAGTGGGGAGGCTCTAGCGTGGGTATCTCAGGACTCCAGGAAGGATCGACTCGATCAACGTTCTAAAACTTTCAAGATAAAATGAAAATCGTCAAGCAACAGCCTAAACCACACGTTAAAGTTGAAAGACCTTCGTGGATGATGTTTGAGAGGAGACGAATCGTTTATGAGAAGTGCAGGAATCCACACAATGGGTGTGTTAAACTGGTCATATAATAAAAAGGTGGAGAAAATTACTTAACCACTATTGGAGAAGATACGCTACTATTGTTAGTGTTAGTTCTAGCTTTTCATATCACATCTCCCTACCTACTGATCGCGCTACTGTCCATATTTCTCAATTTCTTCATGTCGTCATATCGTTATGGATAAATGAATATTGCTTATATAAAAGATTATTTACCCAAGCTTTAGGTTTATGTACGAGCTGTGACACTAATGAAGCAGTAATTACAAAGAGTCTACGAGGATAAGAAACAAAGCAGAACTGGAAATCTTTTATAGATCTACTTCGCTTTCATATGACTTCAGTGTCTGTTGTTTATACAACCAGTGAAGAATATTTGTTTTTAAACCGGTGTTAAAACAAAGCCATTATTTCATTGTTAACGATTTGTTTTCACTTGTAGCCAAAATATTTGTTTATCCTATTTTAATACGAAGTTGTCTTCTATACACTCACTATTCCTGGGGTGTGGGTAGGGTACTGATAGAGATTCCATTCAATATGCGAATGAGCTTGGTTCACCGCTCACCTTACCACCCTTCGGGTTAGGGATGGAGGCTGAGTGAAGCAGTGAAGTGCTGGAAAACCTAATCCCGAGTTTCTCATCTAAGAAAAATCGACCAAACTACTACTAAAAGTCTGAAGGAGACCAAATCTTTAAGCAGAAGTCTGAATGGCACGCAAATGCTGAGTTCTGCAAACGATAGGTATGCAACGAGAAGACTGAAATGAAAGTGATGCTGCGATCTGCACAATATCTAAATTCGCGTCATGCGAAAGAATGTAATTTATCAAAGTTTTCTATCTTTTATGTAGTTGATTTTGCACAGCATAGATATCTTAATACTGTCTCTATCTTTGGTGCAATCACCAGCGGAGTTATCTCTATAACATCCTTACAAACAGCAATCTGCGAAGACCTGCATACAAATTCCTCCCAATAATAGTTTTTTGTAAATTATTATGTGTAGAATAGAACTTTTCTTAGGGAGCACCGACCACAGCACCTGTGGCGGATTGGTAGAATAGAAAAAGTACAACAAACAATTCGTGCAATGTAGATTAGGACAAGCATCAAAGACGGGTGGTTTGAAAAGCGTGTTTTCGAGAAAAAACCCCTCGTAAAACTTTTTAAAGCATTTTAACGTAGACGCCATTTTATCTCCAATCTTTATAAGTTTTTTACACCGTGACCTTCATTCTTCTGTTTATTAAACTGCATTCTCGCTTGCATGTTGTGCCGCAGGTGGAATAGATATAGTAGCCAGCATTTTGCTTACGTGCTGGGGTTCCGGATGAAATACGAATATGGCCAAGGATTTTAGTAATCTTGGTGACCAAACTTTATTGCAGCCTAATTTTCACCACCTGCTTTTCCATATTGCTGACATAGATTTATTTATCAACAATGTGAAACAGTAGGCTATTTTTTTGGAGAAGAAGCATTAAAGAGAGGTGCATATTATAAACAAGGTACTATTACATGGCAAAACGTGAATTGGACAAGCAGTTTACAGAATTCTTGGTCACCAAATAGGAATGTGTGTAGCCTTCAGGGCTGAAGCGATGTAAAGACTCATTAGCTGAATGTATGTGTATTTCTTACTCCCATAGTATTTTCGTTAACAATGCAGTGATTAGGAAAACGAACTGCTATCAAAGCTAAAGCACTAGACTTAATTTATTCACAAAAATTTAGGTATAATACGTCCCTTCAAGGGGTGCACGTTTTTTTTCTACTAATGCCTGCGCTCTCCTTGATATCTTCCAGCATCTCGTCGGCTTGTTCTCTGAAGTCAAAAATATGTGCATTCAGAAGCAAGGTTACCGACAGGAGGTGAAATGGACGAACTTGGTGAGGATCATATCTCCTTGAAACAATGCCGTGTCGACTTTGCTGTTGTGATTGACTTCCTCGATTGTATCACCCATTGGATTCATGTGATTCCTCCATCTTTCACCATAATCCTAAAGGCTCGACTTCATTTATATAATGTTCGTCAATCGAGCGACGGTTGGCTCACCTCAATCGCTTTCATTACATCTGCATCCCGTTCTGGGGGCGGAGTGAGGTTCTCTGATATTTCTTTTTCCATTTTATGCAGCTCTCTGAGAAAGTTCACCGTGTCGTTCTCATTGGGCACCTGAAAAAATGCACAATTCCAATAAGCTCTTATGGGCACAGTATATATTTGGATAAGTAGCTGGCAAGCGATCCTCACATTTTTGAGTTTGTCATATCCCTCTTCTAGTTTTTCATCAAAGTCGTCTTTGCCGGTGGTTTGATCAGATTTGGCTTCTGTACTATAGAATATCCCTCCACCTATGCTGCTGACCAAAAATGCAAATATTATAACCTTCATCCTGAAAAGTAAAGTGGATTGGAATGAAATGCATTTTTGGAAGACGAAGGAAGAAATATTAGAACTCACAAGTCCGACTTTCTATTAACCTCGGCATTGATTGAATATATCTTTCTACTTCTGTTCAGCAAACACGAGGTGCTATTTTATTTCTTTATTTACGCACAAGCTGACGTTTCGGCGGATTTCGCCTTCCTCAGAGCCGCTTTCTATGAGTTTTCCACTGAGTATGTCGCGTGAAGACCGACCGCACCAAATTCACATGGAAGCGTAATGTGGACACATGTAATTCACATGGACATTACGCTTCCATGTGAATTTGGTGCGGTCGGTCTTCACGCGACATACTCAGTGGAAAACTCATAGAAAGCGGCTCTGAGGAAGGCGAAATCCGCCGAAACGTCAGCTTGTGCGTAAATAAAGAAATAAAATAGCACCTCGTGCTTGCTGAACAGAAGTAGAAAGATATATTGGAACTCAGTTCTACTTTGATCACACGTCGTTTGAATGACTATTATTTTTTTTAACAAGCCAATCATTTGAGATATTCGTTCCTATGATAAGGCTAGTTAATCGAGCAATTCCCACTATCAACGGCATTCGAGACCATATACATAAATTTAGATAGAGTTTTTTTAAACAGTTATTCATCTTACTGCAGAGAAAAAAAACTCGGTGATACCACTGCTCCTAGCAAATCGATCTCTGCCTTTCTGATGTTGTGCCGTCATGATCTATGAAAGGCTATTTTACACATCGTAATTTACAAAAAACAGCTGCTGCTGGGACATCTTTTTTAGTATATGTACTCAATACGGGATTGGTGACCTCAAAAAGGCACTACCATAGACGTTGCTGTTGATGGGGGGAGCGCTGAGATATTTCTGCTGACTGCACAGACACAAGCACATGAGTCGTTGGACGGTTACTGATAAGGAGAGTACAGTCGCCTCTCTTGTTTAAAAAACATTTCAGATCATATCCCTTGTATTAAATACCCAACGCGTATGGCAAAAAGTAGGCGCCGTCGTGAATGTGTCAACGCTGCTGTTCTACTACTATTTACCACTCAGATGTTGTCAGGGGTGCACCTCGGTGTCAAACTGCTGCGTACAACAAGAGTTCTTACTCCATCATGGCCACTCTGTTTTGAGTGGCACCGCAACTTAAGGTAAGAACCTATGCAATGGTAGTAAAGAGCGCCTTGACACAGTTCCACTTTTTTAGTGTTCTACTGGTTTAGCTACTTTGGTTTCTTGGAGGCCCGAGATCAGCCTAGCCAAAGCCTTCCTCAGGTCGTTGCCACCCCAGACAGTTGCCGCCCATGTGGATTAAAGGGAGATTTGCAACCATGCGACTAGTTTGATGCCAGGACGGTGGTGGGTTCTGGTATTGGTTTACTCTTAACTGGGCTTCCTAATGGAAAACGCCGGGCACTTTCTCGGCTTGGGAGACCCTGGTAAAGAATCCTACCGCTGTACATCGTACCTAGACACGCAGGAACAACTACTAGTCATGATGAGGCGGTAAACCGTTGGGAGGGATCTACAATTAATAATGGCGATAATGCAAGAAAATTCGTTTCCAACTTCTTGATACGAACCATGGCGAAATAAGAGTCAAGATTCTTTTTTGACTAGGCAGCATTTTCTTATTTTTGTGAAGTGGACTCTTTTTCCTTCTTATACAGTCTCTTTCCTAACTAGAAGTAACCCTTGGATTTAGCAATTGAAGGATTTTGCTGGTTGCGATTTTCTACTTATAAATCTCAGAGTTGGGATTTGACACACCATTAATTGATAAAGATGGCAAAGAAAGAAAATATTAAGTAATGTTAGCGCGTTAGTTTCCACCTTTGTGCTCATCCCATTATCTCACGGTTAACGCGAAGAGTAGGGTGTAAACTGGACTGTTGAACTAATGAAGAAATACTAGAAAAAGAAGTACTACGTGCAAACGATACGTTGATACGGAAAAAAGAAGAGTTTTACATATTGTCAATGGTAGCAGTTCTCTAACCTTAGAGGACTTTATATAGAAAGTGGAATCAAAGAGCATCTAACAATACAGCGGCACAATTTTGGCTGGATGAATAGCACCCGTTTGAGCTTGGAACTTTGGGTCTTGGTTAACCAGCTGCCTTCAGGGACAATGTCAAATTTCCAGTCAACAACGGCAGCAACGATCATCGGTTTTTTCTCAGTAATCGTCAACAACCATTCAGAATGAAAAACAGCACCTCACTGTCATTTGATCTTTGCTTCTTCTACGCAACGAAGACGTTCCATTCCTCATTGTATTAAGTATGACATGCGACAAAAATGAATCATAACCGACAAAACTCAGCCAAGTAGCTGAACCGTGATAAAATTGATGAACATTTCCTTATGTCGGATTTGCACCTAGAGCACGTTTCACTGAATGCTTGTTTCTTTACAACCACTCGTAACATCACGGCGCGAAATCACCGAGACGTCAGCCATCCACCAACAACACCAACAGCAACAACAACGACAACGAGGACCTATTCCAACCTCGCATCAGCTAACGAAGACCAGTTTATAAGATCATATAAATAAATATATCAACTATCTATGCCAAGGTTTATAGAAAGTCGATCTTTTGGGTTGTTTATAACCAGTCCCGTCATGACATCTATTGCGCGGAACCCAGAAATGCTTGAATTCGACTCGTTTTTCTCGCATTTATCCCACAAGAAGGTCTTCGAACATTGCGAATTTAATAAAATAAACCGATTAACTTAGTCAACAAGGCTGAATTAAATAGCTACAAGTTTTCAAATCTGGAGCGAAACGACTGGAGCAGAAAAATGCTTTTGTAAAGTAAAGTTTTGCGAAGACGGCAGTCTATCCATCCAGAATTGGTTTAAAGAAAAGCTCCAGTCTTCCCGCACTACAATATTTAACCAGGTATCGCACAAATAACGCTACAGAAGTTGAACCAGCCGAGTTACAAAACTCTTATTTGCCTAATCGAACTACTCGCTAATAAATCACAACATTTTCAAGCATCTCGAGAAGTATTAATTGAGAAAAGTTTCGACAATGAAGTTACGCTAAAAAATGTCCTCGAATAACTTGCCGTATTAAGGCCTTGATAACTTTATGCTGTTGCATAGATAAGGCTGTTTTTCGCAAACTGCTTCCTTAAATAAAAATAGTCAAAAAATGAAACTGCGGGTTCGAATCCCATCTGATATCCTGAGCTTGCTCAGATCTCAACGTCTGTGTGATTGTGTCGTACCTTGCCATGTACTCGTATACAAATTTGTTGCTCGAATCACAATGAAAGGGATTGACAGAAAACTGAAAAAAGACAGCCAAGCGAAAAATCAGGGTTTCGAAAAGGATTCAGTATGATGGACCACATCCACACGATAACAGGACTCATTGAAGTATCGGGAGACTACAGAAGACTGCTCTGTCTCACTTTCATCGATTGAAAGAAAGCTTTTAATTTACTGTTCTCTTGATGAGCAAACACGAGCTCGTTACTTTATTTTTTCTTTAGAAACAAGCTAGCATTTCGGCGAATTTCGTCTTCCTCATTAAGTTGACTGCAGTCCACTTCGCCTAACATCTCTGTAAATAAGCAGAGAAAATACTAACTCAAAATTTTAATCACATCGAGCACAAAATAGCTTGTTCACACATTAACCGCTTCCCATAAATCTTCCACTGAGTATGTCACGTGGAAACCAAACGAACAGAGTTCACACGGAAGCGTAATTTGTCTCTCACATTAATATATCAGTCTTAAACACTATGTGAGATCATGCGTGACTACGAAGCATTCTTCTCCGCTGTTAGTTCTCGGTTTCTTAAAATTTAACCAGGATGTTTCGAGAGTTTTGCGTGCTGGTGTTTTCAACCCTTATGCAAAGATTGTAACTTCTAGTTCAAAACATTCACCGTTACGTCACTGCGTCCTATGCGCGTTTAGTGGAGTATTTGGTTTAAGTTCAAGTTTACCGACTAGGTGCTCTTTTACACTGATCAATATGTAAATCACCGAACCCTTTACGTGAGATCAGATAAAGCGGCACCCGAAGTCATACAATCACCGTTCCTATTACTAGGGCATATTGTGCCATGCGGTAGTATTTTGATCAGCGTCACCGAGTACTCTACACCGGCCCTTCTTAAGCAACATTTTATAGCTGCACTTTTTTCGTTTGAAATGAAGGAAAGCATGAACGAGACATTATTATCGATAGTTATCTTTTAGAGGCTCGGATTTCCCTCTGCACCTATTCCTAGGAGCTGTACTTTCGTAGCTATTGGAAATGGCTATCAGCCGCATCAGTTTCCAGGAGTTTCTCCCTTCTGCTCTCTTTCTGTGCACATGCTGGTGGTTGTTCGAAACATATTTTCTATAAGCGTCCTTTTCGTGTGTGAAGCGTGAGAGGAGAACTAATGAACCATGATGGTTTCACTAGTTCGATTTCGCTATTACTTCGTAAGGTAGCCGTTTTTGTATACGTTGATTTCAACTTTGAGAGATTGAAGCCAATTTTTTCCAGTTTTCTTCGAGCAAACTTAATCTACTTGACTGTTCATTCAATAACTCAGAACGTTTGCCTATTTCCTCTTGTATTGAACAAACGGTAATGCAAGTATTAATATATCTGCAGAAGAGTAGTGGCGAGAAATCGGTTGCTGATAATTCCACCTTAAATATAAATGCAATGCCAAGCCTTAGAGCCAATCGTTGTCTCATTGCCAATACTGTAATACCTCCCAGATAGAGCGCGTGTGGCGCAGTGGTCGATGGCGCACTGCAACACACACGTGGAATCGATCCCCGCACCCATGGCCCACCAAGCTTTCCATTCGTTTAGAGTTTTCAAATTGGTCCCAGACTTATCTGGAAAGACAGCAGCACTTGTTCGACACATCGGTAGGTCACCGCGAGTCATTATAAAGGCCAGATATGCACTCAATCGCCTCCAGACGTTGCTTAATGAAGTCGAATGCATCCTTCAAGGATTGATTAGCGCCGAGAGCTTTATCCTTTTTTAAAATTTACCTCCAAAGTCATCTGAAGACTGAACAGTTTATGCACTCCTTTGGGAGTGCCATCAATTGGTGGAGCCAAACAGTTTTATTGCTTCTTCGTTCTGTATAGAGTTCCAGGATAGCTTGTATATTACTTGCACCCAAAATTTTGAAGTAGGAGCCAACATTTTCGCACAGGAATCTAAACCACCAGCACGCAAAATTCTCGAGGCGTTCTGGACAAATTTCGACCATCTGAAAATGAAGCGTATAAAGGAAATGTCTCGTAATCACGCGTCATCTCACATAGTATTTAAGACTGATATTTAAATGTGAGAGGCACATTGCGCTGTTACGTGATCTCGATATGGGTGATCCCCACGTGAAATACTCAGTGGACGACTGATAGGAAGCGATCAGTATGTGAGAAAGCCTTTTGCGTGCAATATGATTGAAGTCTTAAATTAGCGCTTTCTCTGTCTGGTTATGGAGGTGTTTCGCTGGGTAGATTGCGGTAAACTTGATCTTTGCATACTCTGAAGACAGCGATATCCGTCGAAACGTCTGCTTACAATAGCAACCTTGTGTTTGCTCGTCAAGAGCGGTGAATTAATCGAGCAGTTCCGAGGTTAATAGAAAATCAGCAGTGGGAATTATTAGAAGACGTATCAGCTTCTAATTCGGTTGAGATAGGAGCGCTCGTAGAAGCTCTAGATAATCAGAGAATCCCTGCTTAGCATATAAAGTTTCTCGGTGAGATGTGTGAAAATTTTACAATAAAAATATCAACGTTCTACAATGGTATCAGTATCGACGTCAATGGAGTGGTTCGGCAAAGCGATACCGTGTAAACAAAATTATTTAAAACGCTGTCCTCGAAAATGCCATGCGAACAGTGGAAAGAGAGACGTGGGAGTGAAAATCGGTTATCGGCGGTTACACAATCTTCGCTATGCGATGACATCGTTCTTATAACATCAAGCTCTGGCCACGCGGAAAGAATGCTTGCCGACTTTTCACAACTCCAGTGAAAAGATTGGCCTTTGACTAAATCTCACAAAAACGAGATTGGGTCTAGGGAGATGGTCCATTAGGTCTAATGCTAAAGTAGCTTTGCGAAGAAAATTCGAAGACCTTTTGAGTAAATCACAAAACAGAGCTTCAATAGCGCACAAAAATATTGCTAAAGAACATTAAACAGATCACATAGGTAATGTGCAAGAAAATTCGAGGCTAACCGTGTTAGGAGGCATAACTCTCCCTGACGGCGCGCTCGTTATTAGAATTGGGGCCGAGTTTCTCACCATCTGAACCCATTTCTAAGATAACCTTGCGTAGGGTCGCATGTGGTTTATATGAACTTCAAGATAGACTCTGCAAAAAAGCTAGAGATGAAGCGCTAAATAGGTGCGAACAACGTCAAGTGGGGGCCCTACCAATAGCACCATTTCCCCCAACGTTCCTTAGACAGCAAGAGCCCAATAATGAAGTTGATGTCAAATTTTGGATGTTTGCGAATGAAACTCTCAAACTCCTTAATCACTATCGCGCGAAAAGATACAGCTCCAACCTCACTCCAGTGCAAAAACGTGGTATGCGAGAGGTACGAGACCTGATAAGGTTGAAAACCATAAGACTTTCCGTTAGTGATAAGGGTGGAGAGTTTGTCGTAATTCCTCATCAGCTAGATGTGGAGATAACGAAAAAGCATCTTGAGGATGCTTCTCTTTATCGCCATCATCTGAGNCATTAAACAGATCACATAGGTAATGTGCAAGAAAATTCGAGGCTAACCGTGTTAGGAGGCATAACTCTCCCTGACGGCGCGCTCGTTATTAGAATTGGGGCCGAGTTTCTCACCATCTGAACCCATTTCTAAGATAACCTTGCGTAGGGTCGCATGTGGTTTATATGAACTTCAAGATAGACTCTGCAAAAAAGCTAGAGATGAAGCGCTAAATAGGTGCGAACAACGTCAAGTGGGGGCCCTACCAATAGCACCATTTCCCCCAACGTTCCTTAGACAGCAAGAGCCCAATAATGAAGTTGATGTCAAATTTTGGATGTTTGCGAATGAAACTCTCAAACTCCTTAATCACTATCGCGCGAAAAGATACAGCTCCAACCTCACTCCAGTGCAAAAACGTGGTATGCGAGAGGTACGAGACCTGATAAGGTTGAAAACCATAAGACTTTCCGTTAGTGATAAGGGTGGAGAGTTTGTCGTAATTCCTCATCAGCTAGATGTGGAGATAACGAAAAAGCATCTTGAGGATGCTTCTCTTTATCGCCATCATCTGAGGAGGAATTCAAAAGTAAATTCCGAAAACTAAACCACGAATGGGCCAAAATGACAAGGGCTGCGGGTTTAAAACCAACAGTTANGATGCTTCGCTTTATCGCCATCATCTGAGGAGGAATTCAAAAGTAAATTCCGAAAACTAAACCACGAATGGGCCAAAATGACAAGGGCTGCGGGTTTAAAACCAACAGTTATCTCTCAACTTAAAGTTGACTTACCAACATGCCCCGTCTTGTACTTACTTATGAAAACTCATAAGTTAGTATCCAGCGATGATCTTGCGTCCAACGATCCACCACTATTTAAGGTTAGACCTATCATTAGCTGCGTAGAAGGGCCAACGGACAGGATAACATGGTTTTTAACCCTAATATTTAACCAGTTGTTGAAACACATTCCAGCCCATCTTACGAATACCCAGATGTTTCTGGATCGTCTACGTGCGTGATGGAGTCCTTCGACGTTACCGCCCTTTATACAAACGTGTCGAATGACTCTGCAATGCAAGCCATATTCGAACTCCTTACACAACACGAAGGAGAAATAAACATGTATGGCTTCAAGATAAAGCACTGATGGTACTCTTAAAAGAATGCTTGAGCTGCTCAATCTTCAGATGGTCCGGAAAGTACTACGCTCAAATAAGAGGGTTGGCAATGGGACAACGACTGGCTCCAAGCCTTTCCATTGCATTTATGTCTGAGGTGGATGCACTGATGACTGATCTCGGGCCGCTACTCTACTGTAGGTGTGTAGACGACTGCTTTGTCCTTTGCTCAACACAAGAGGAAATGGACAAATGCTTCGAATTGTTAAACGCACATTCAGAGTATATCAAGTTCACCCGAGAAAAGCCGAAAGAAAAATGGCTTCCATTTTTGAACCTACAAATTCACCTATCAGAAAATGGCTACATTACAAAGTGGTACCGAAAGCCAAGTAGTAAAAACATCTTGGTTCATTACCTCTCCTCTCACCCCTCTCACACGAAAAGGGCGCTTATAAGAAACATATTTCGAACAGCAACCAACGTGTGCACGGGAAGAGAGCAGAGAGAGGAGTCCCGGAACTTGGCACGGCAAATAGCCGTTTCTAATGGCTACGAAACTGTAGCTTAGGATAGGTGTAGAGGAAATCGTAGGCCTCCAAACGACAACTCTAGCGATAGAAGGGTCCCGTTTATCCTACCTTTCATCTCAAATGATATAAGTACAGCTACAAAACGCTGCTTAAGAAGGGCGGGCTTAGAGAGTTCGGTGAGCGTAGTTGAAATACCACCGAGTAATCTTAAGCGCCAGCTAGTTCGTAACCGCCTATATGACCGTCTATGTGCAACTCAAAATTGCATAATTTGCCCCAGTGGTAGAGACGGTGATTGCATCAGCTCGGGTATAGTTTATCTGATCTCCTGTAAGACGTGTGGTGACGAATACACTGGCGAAACGGGTAGACCCCTCTGTCTCTGTGTCCGCATGAAAGAACACCTAGCCGGCAAAAATAGACCAAATACCCCGCTAGGCACGCATAGGACCCAGAGACATAACGGGGCGACTTCGAAGTATGTGTCACGATCCTTGCACGCGAATCAAGAACACAGGCGCGAAAAACTCTCGAGGCACTCTGGATTAATTCCAGAAATCCAAAAATGAACCGCAGGGAAGAATGCCTCATTATCACGCGTGATATAGGGCAGTATATAAAACTGCTTTTCTGATGTGAGGGGCACATTATACTTCCATGTGATTTCTGTGCGGTTGGTCTCTATGTGACATACTTAGTGGAAACCTCATAGGAAGCGGTGAGTGTGCAAAGCTGTGTTCAAAGTGATTGAAATCTTGGTTTAGAGTTTCTTTGTTTGGTTATGGAGGCGTCTGGCCGAGTAGATTGCTATCAACTTGACCTTTCCAGGCTCTGAGGAAGGCGAAATCTGCCGAAACGTCAGCTTAATCGTGAACAAAGAATAATAACACCTCGCGTTTGCTCAACAAAAATACGAAGAAAAAACGAGATTCATAAGAAGCAGATTGGTTTCGTATGCCTCATTCAGGCTCAACAGAACGATTATCTCGTAATGCTCCAGCTACCTCTTTTTAGTTTAGGAAGTCAACATGATTCTTCCAACGGTTTACCGCCTCATCGTGGCTGGGAGGTGTTACTGGGTATTGGGCTGTAAGCGATGTACGACGTGGCGATTCATCCCTCACACAGACTCTCACAAGCTGAGAAAAAGTCCGCCGTTTTCCACTAGGAAGCCCAGCTAAGAGTAAATCAATATCAGGATCCACCGCGGTCCTGACATCGTACTAGTCGAATGGTGGCAAATCTTTCTCTGATCAACAAGGACGGCTACTGTTTGTGGTGGTAACGACCTGGTGCAGACTTTGGCAAGGCTGACCTAGGACTCAGGAAAACCCAACACCTGAACCAGCAAAATTCCGAAAAATGGTGAACGTGTTGTGGCCCGCACAACCAGTGACGACGAGCCGTGTAAGCATCTGAGTAAGTCAACATGATGAACGAGATTTGTGGATGAGGAAGCGAGTAGTCTGGGTAGCTTTCATAGGCATCAGGAATGTAGTGAAGAGGACGAAGAACTTCCAAGCCCATACCTATCTTTCCGACTCCACGGTTTTTAGTTCCTTAATGTTTGCGTCAATAATCTGGTCGCTGCGTAAGCAGGCTGAACGATCCCTAGACTCAGCCTTATGGAAAGTGGAGTTGAATGGACAGTACTATGAGTATCCCGTGTTACGCAATTGAGGAAACGGTTTCAAAGCTCCAACTTCCTTCAACGATCGAAGACGCTGTTTTATGCGCCAAACTACCGAAGATGAGATGGCCAGAACACTTAATGAGTATGAACAATAATCGATGAAGATGAGCCGTTAGCCATTGGATTCCTCGGGATGTTAAACGCACTGCAGAAAGACTACCGACCCGATGGTCAGAGTTC